GACGCAGTGGTCAGGGTGTACAGGCTCGACCCCGGCCGACGGGTAAACGTGGCCAGGTGTCGGCCAGTCCGAGCGTCCGTGCAGTGGGTCACCCGCTGACTCGCAGGAGTGAACTGGTGAACCCCCGCATCTTGTAGGTCAGCACCACTCACCAAGTTCGTAGAGAACGAGGGGAGGTAAAGACCAGACAGGGTGCCAGAGGGGGCCGCCGGACACGGGAGGACAGTGGAGAAGTGAGCAAGGACAGGACCCCCAGAGGGGTCTGCCAGAGAGACCGCAACTGGCCGGCCAAGCGGCGTGAGTGTGGTGCGGTCTCGAAAGAAGGAGCGAGAAGCCCCCGAGTCAAGGGTGAAGGTGTGGGAGGCCGAAGCCGACGCAGAACCTGAGAGAGCAGACTCACCAGCACCTGAGGGAGCAGACGCACCTAGAGCAGCAGCCTCGCTAGCACCTAGAGCAGCAGCCTCACCAGTACCTAGAGCAGCAGTCTCAATGCCCGGGTCGGGCGGAAAACACCGGTAACAGTCACCCTCATCACTAATAGTCACAGTATACATAGCAGCAAGAATAGCATCAAAGTCAAGGTCAAAGACAGCGACACCCGCCCTAGACAGCTCACCCCGGCGGGGGATCTCAGTGGCCTCAGGGAACTGGTGACGCCAAGCGTCCGTCAGGCGGCCAAAGCAGCGCTGGGTGGAGTGCGCCCCCCCGCACTGGTCACCCGCGCGGTCGCCGGTGCGGAGGACGTAGGTGCACGGACCAGTACCCCCACCCCGCTGGCGTGCAGCGTACCACTCACGGAGCTGCTGAGGGGGGGGGATGTCACGAGTGCGCTGCTGCTGCTGCTGTTGCTGCTGCTGGCACTGACCACCACCGGAGCCGACCCTCTGCGCAGCGCCACCCCGACCAGCTCCACCTCCTCCGCCGCCGCCTCCTCCACCGCCGCTACCTCCGCTCCCACCGCCACCGCCGCCGCCGCCTCCGCCTCCACCGCCGCCACCGACACCTCCACCCCCACCACCACCCCCACCGCCACCCCCACCCCCTCCACTGCCTCCACCGCCGCCTCCACCGCCCCCGCTAGCTCCTCCAGTGCCCCTGCCCCCCTTGCCCTTGCCAGGGCGGCGTCTCCCGCTAGGGGTAGACGCCGCACCGACCGACTCAAGCCCAACGAGGTCGGCCGCAGCAGCAGAGGGCAAAAGAGGGGAGGGGGAACACCCCTCAAAGATGGGGGTGCGAGGGTCACCACGAGAGGCTCCTACAGCGACTATGCTCTTCTCTGCTGCTAGGAGGGACTTCTCGAGGAGGTCAACGGTGAGAGTGGTGGGGCAAACTGAGAGGAAGTGGTCCCTGACTACGCGAAGGGAGTCAGGGAGCCGGGTGACTATGTAGTAGAGGGTGATGTACATGGGGGGGGGGTTCTTGGCGCAGAACTCAGCAGGAAGCGCAGCGCGGTAGCGAGTGTCACTAGTGCGGAGGTGCGTAATGAGGTCAGCGACTGTGGGAAAGGCAGCAAGGTCAGGGAAGAGGTACGGTAGCATGAGGCGGCTCAGTGCAGCAGTGGCAGGGGAGGAGTAGCGCGCAACTACAGCGTCGTACAAGGTGTGAGCACTCTTGTACTGGCTAAAGTGTGCACGCTCAGAGGTAGGCAGGTGGCGACGCACAGCAAGACGTGCAGCAGCATCGCGCGTGGCCCACTGTGAGCGAACAGTGGCGTCAGCATCAGCAGCGGGGGCAGGGGAGGCACCAGAAGTGAGGTCAAAGAGGGAGAGGCCGTCTGCTCTGTCGCACTGTAAGAAAAGCTGCAGGTCATCTATCCAGACGTCAAAGTCAATGGCTCGACCCTCAGCATCAAAAGCGAGGACACTAGGGGTAGCCATGACAGCAGTAGACTAGCAGCGCAAACAGTAGGGTGAGGGCAGTGCTGTGAAAGAGGCGCTGCTCTTACCGGACAGGGCGGCTCGGGTGGCTCGGTTGCAGGGCGGCTCGGCGGCTCGGCTGCTGGGCGGCTCGGCGGCTCGGCTGCAGGGCGGCTCGGCGGCGCGGCTGCTGGGCGGCTCGGCGGCTCGGCTGCTGGGCGGCTCGGCGGCTCGGCTGCTGGGCGGCTCGGCGGCTCGGCTTCTGGGCGGCTCGGCTGCCGGGCGGCTCGGCGGCTGGGCGGCTCGGCTGCTTGGCGGCGCGGCGGAGCCGCTGAGAGGGCGGCGTCCGGGGCCGCTGGGAGGAGGCGGCGAGGCCGCTGAGAGGAGGCGGCAGGGCCGCAGGTAGGTGGCGGGGCCGCTAGTAGGTGGCGGGGCCGCCGGTAGGTGGCGGGGCCGCTGGTAGGTGGCGGGGCCGCAGGTAGGTGGCGGGGCCAGCATAGGTAGGTGGCGGGGCCGCGGGTAGGTGGCGGGGCCGCTGGTAGGTGGCGGGGCCGCAGGTAGGTGGCGGGGCCGCTAGGAGGTGGCGGGGCCGCAGGTAGGTGACGGGGCCGCAGGTAGGTGGCGGGGCCGCTAGTAGGTGGCGGGGCCGCAGGTAGGTGGCGGGGCCGCTAGTAGGTGGCGGGGCCGCACAGGTAGGTGGCGGGGCCGCGGAGGGCGGCGACGAGCCGTAGGGGGCCGTGAGGGGCCGCGAGAGGGGCCGTAAGGGGCGTAAGGGGCCGCGCGAGGGGCCGTAAGGGACGGCGCGAGGGGCCGTAAGGGGCGGCACGAGGGGCCGTAAGGGCGGCGCGACGGGCGCGACGGGCCGTAAGGGCGGCACGAAGGGCCGTAAGGGGGGGCGCGATGAGCCGTGAGGGGGGGCCGCTAAGGGCGACGCGACGGGGCCGTGAGGGGCCTAGCGAGGGCGCGACGGTAGGGGGGGAGCACCCAGGGCGCGACTCGGGCCTGAGCGAAGCGCGCTCCGGGCAGGAAAAAAAAAATTCGTGGTGGTGGGCCCTAGGAATCGTTCCCACTAGGGAACCTGCTCGATACCATGAGAAGAAACGAGGAATGAAAATGACTAAGGGAAGGTTGGGTACAAAAATGCAAACCCTAGAAAACTGTACCCCATATGTGCTACCCCACTATAGCCTACAGTAGCTCTGTCATATAAATCTGACACGCACTAGCAGAGAGGCGCACGAGGGCGCGAAAGTGGTAGGGCGCTCGAGGGCACTTCTAGCAGAACGGTGGGCCCTTAGGACTAAGCGGTCCTAGGTTCCTAACCTAGGCTCGTAATACCATGTCAGAATGAACAAGATTGTTTGCACTAGATAAGAGGTGGGTACAAGTAGGAAACCCTAAACTTACTGTACCCCATAGTAACTACCCCACTACAGCCTAAACCAACTGTAGCAGATATAACATTTGACACGCGTCCAGTCAGAATGAGCCGTCACGCCTGTGAAGTGACGTGCCAAAGCTCTGTGCACAGTCAGAGAATGCCCTCGCGCGATTCTGATTCAGGAACCTGTAGGATTTCGATTCGTTAGAATTTACGAGACTGAAATAGATTTTGGTGTGTTTAAATTGTATTTCTTTTTATATAAGCACCGGCGCTTATGGCCGTTACTCAATTACAAGACCCCCCTTAAAAAAATGAGTGTATCATAAGCGCATATGCGCTACTATCTGGGGCCAGACTATACATGATATGTGTTTCGGCCAGGCAAGTTACTAAAACCTAGTGTAACCATATAAAGCAGCCTGTGAACGCAAGAATCACATCGAACTGAGGACACTCATGAGACTGGCTTAAATGTGAACCGTGACTAAACAACGACGCATGTTGTCAAACTTATATGCTATAGTCTGTGGAAGAAAGGCCCCGCCCTCGCTTGGGCGCAGCCGATCTCATTGTCGACGAGAAGTTCGCGACGGATTGGTCGACAAAATGGGCTTCTGCAGTTCGACGGAAGTTGCGGTCGAGCAGGCTGTGCTCGACAGAATCCGGTCAACGAGCTCTGCGTCTGGTCGACGATCTCTGCGCGAAGAGCTCCCGTCAAAGAGCGCTGGTCGACGATCCTGGTCGAAGAACTCTGGTCGAAGAGTTCGGGTCGATGAGCGCTGCTCGGCGAACGCTGTTCAACCGAGCGGTGTCCAAAAGATCGACCAAACTTGCAGAGGTGTGCGAAACTCTGAGGAGGTGTGCGAAACTTCGCCGAGAAGGTATTGGCGAAGTTTGACCTGCGGAATGGCAGCACGTGGTCGACGGTGCGCACCTCGCGAAACAGACAACATGTATTCTACCTGGCACCTACGCAATGTGCCTGACGGTGAAACCAAATATCACAGAAAATATTCCTCACGTTGCGTCTCAAGAAGAACGTTCCTCACATTGCATCACCCATCATTCATTCCCCTCTCCCCTGCCCCACTCAAACCACGAGTCACCTTTTTCTAACCCTTCAGCTCCCCTCCCTGCCTCACCCAAAGTACCTTGTAGCTTGCCTTACTCTTTCCACTCTCTTCCCTACCTCACTCAAAGGACTGTTTACCTTGCCTAACCCCTCCCAGACTTGTCCCACATGGCCTCACTCCTTTCCCTGCCCCACCAAACACTCCAATAAATCTCATGGTCTTCTGAACTACGAGGCTAAGTAGGATGGAATCGATATAGGAGAGAACTGCCTGATGAAAATGCCTGGTCTAGAAAGGTACGGGGGCAACTCAGCAGAAGTACGGGGTAAGAATATAGTTGAAGTAGGTAACTGATCCTATCGCGGGAAAATCGGATTGGGAGGCCGGGGGCAAACGCGGTCCATCCAATTATGAAAAACGCCCACGTGGCGAGGTCGGAGCAATTTAGGTCGATTCTTTTGAGAGAAACGCGATTTCCGCCGATGCGCGCGATTTCGCCCTAGTACTGACTGTATTGGCACCTTTGTACAGTCAAACTGGATGGCGGAGCAGCATTTTCAAAAATAGCCGACCATCAGGTGGATTGTGCCAAGTTTTCTTCGTCCTCCTCCTAGTTCGTGGCAGTATATTTCTTTCATGTCGAGCACCCGATTTTTTTATTTCACGTTTCGTGCTTCTCGTGCCAACATGAAGCGAGCACCTCTCTTCGTCCTCCTCCTCGGTAAGAACTGCTACCACAACCTCCTGCCTTACTACTACTGCTAGTTACATATTCTCCGACACAAGCATTCGAAGCTTACCGACAGGCTCAGGTATAGATCCTTGTCGTGCCTCGTCGATCTATCCCAGGTACTCGCCTCTGTCGTGGGAAGTCAGCCACTACTAGTAGCTGGCGGCCTTTCCGTTTCTGCCATAACCATGCCGTGGTAGGAATTGAATTTCTGTCAGCGGCGGCCCGCCAAAAGTTGGGACTTTCCTCCACCACAGTAATTTGTCCCCTCGTGCGCGCTGTCTGTCCGCCAGGTGCGGCGTTCTTCACTGCCGCTGCCGCGGCTGCATCAATTCCGTCATTCATCCTACACGACGGCGACGTTTCAGCCGCCCAGTCTGGCGCTCAGGCCAAGCCCTCGGTGTTTAAGGGGAAGATAATCAGTAAGTCGCGTTGGCGTTGCCTCTGCAAGAAGTGCGCCTTTAGGGTTCTAGTATTTACTAGCAACGCCACAAGTACTATCGGTGAACCGCCAACCGCCTCCTCCAAAGAGTTTTTTGTCATTCCTGTCCTACATGTTCGTGGCGAGTTTCCCGTTTTTATCACTGGGAGTCTTGCCGCAAGATGCATAATTCCAGGGAGTCCCTTTTTACTTCACGTCCTTCCCTTCCCTACCCATTGCCAGAAAAATACGTGGCAAAACTCCGTCCCCCTAGGATAAATGGGAAACGAACAGGGGACAAAGGTGCCTCGGGGAAATATGTCAAACTGGCCGTGAGGTGAGTACCCATGCGTTTTCTATCTGATGGTGCTTTTGTTCCACAGAAGTACTACTCAGGATTAAGAATTCACTTCCTGCTGTGCTGGTGGGCCCCTCATCATCCCCACCCACTTTTTTTCCCACCTGTGCGCCGATTTTCTCCGTGCCCCTGTTCTCAGGTTCTCAGCGTCGTCAAATAATGTCAGAACATATATCACCATCTCGAACCTAAAAAATGGAGGAACAGATCCTGGATTCAACACGGGGGCCTTCCTGTGCTCCTACTGAACTGGGTGGCGCTCTAAGTTGGGTTAACGTCACACGTGACAAGAGCAAGACCTACAGCTACACGTACTTCGAGAGTATGGGGCCGATGGCACCGGGTGATGTACCTGTTCCGTTTTCTGAGCTAGGCAAATACGTGTTTATTGGGCATGTTAACAACTTTCACGCAATTTGCGGGAAGCTGAAGAAGGTGGTCTAATGGTTGGCTCGTCATGTCTACCACTGCTTGGTTGCCTCATCATGTTTGAAAATGCGTACTAATGAATGAGGATCTGCAAGTTTTCCCAAACAAATTTGCTAGCTAACTCTCTTTCTCTTGTTTTTATTTCAAGGATGAGAAACTGTAAAGATTTTTTTTTTTCAGTATTCCTTACCGCACATCTCAACATCGCGTACACGACCAACTGTTTCTTTGCCCGTTACTGCTAACGTGTTTCGCCGGCTTCTCGCGCTACATTTGCTAAACCATGCACCGTTGGCCTGGCCCGAGTGAGCCTACGCTTCGGGACTAGCATGAACCTCGATGCAGCATCGCACTAACTAGCTCGCACGAACCGCATAACCGTGTGCTTGTTTTCACTATACATGTTCGCTCATGCCTTCACCTACAGTTTGTACTCGTTTCCCAACTTAGTGCATCTGTTACGATAAGTGAAACTTGAGTGCACTGCATTCCTGTGTCAAAACATTCCTATAGCTATCTAGGCTATGTAGGGGCTATGCTTCGAGTACACAAACTTGCTCGATACTCCTCTTGTACCCCACCCTTTGACCTAGTCGACATTCCTAGCAATCATTCTGACATGGTATCAAGAGCTAGGATGTTCCTAGCCTGCCCGTTGTTTTACCCTCCCCCACTCAGTCGCGATCTGCTGCCCGCTAGCACCGCCCTGTCTAGCGCGATCGCGGCTGCCCTTCCATGCACGCTTCCTCGTGCGCGACTCGTATAAGAATGGTCTAAGCTACTAGCGGAAGCTATAGTAGTATTGGAACCTCCTCCTAAAGCATAGGAATCTCAGGAGCCAACTTGGGCATGAACTGTGCTAGAACCAAAGGGGTTTCCAAGAAGTGCAGTTCCAACAAGAGAGAACTCTAACCTATAGGGTTTGAGAGGTGGTCCACTCTAAAGAGTGTACATCACAAGTTCTTTCAACCCAACCAATGTATTTTACACTATTATAGTGTAGATCTGCCACTACATGTTTATTGCAGCAGCCCGAATTAACCTTAATTCCAACACCCCCCCTTGCTCCAATAAGCATTAAGGCTCACCCATTAATCAAAACACAACCCCTCTAGCGAATGAAGCCTTGGCCTTTGCAGCCATCACTCGCATGCCGATGCGCTCAAGGTTCTCATGCAGCTGCAAGCTTGAGAAAGCTTTGATGAGCATGTCGGCATCCTGGAGGTGGAAGCATACTGATTGCACCTCGACCTCTTGCTGGCGCACCGCATCCCGTATAAAGTGCCATGACACCTTAATGTGTTTGGTGCGCTGATGGAGAACGGGATTTTGGGCAAGGGAGACAGAAGCCTCATTATCACAGAGCAATGTAATAGCCCCCCCATCCCCCACATGCATCTCTGCCAACAAACTCATCAACGAAATGACCTCCTTAGCCCCCTTCGATAGAGCTTTATACTCAGCTTCAAAAACTGCCTTGCCTTTTGCTATACCAGCTGATAGCTCATCCTTCCAACTTAAAGATGTAGGCAGAGCGACTCTTGCCAAAAGTCTCACCACCCCAATTCGAGTCGGTCTACCCAACAAACTCCTCACCACCTTGGCGTTCATACCTGATGACACGACCAGCTGCGTCGACCAAGTACATGGTGCTTTCAGTGCAGCGCGCATGCGAATGCATCTTCGTGCCACGCTGGACTATGCAAGGGTGTTGACAGTGAATGACATGTCAGGACGCGTAGTCACAGCTGTTAACGGGAGTGGAGTGTTGGCCCCGCCCTCGCTTGGGCTACGCCGACGACTTGGTCGGATGTACGGGAGAAGCAGCCGACCGTTCATAGTGGGAGAGTTGCTCGACGGGCTTCGTCAAGCTGCAGAGGACCGATGTGGTGTTGCCGTCGACAAGGAGGAGCAGTTCGCCCGGGAGGTCGACAGAGCAGTCTGTCGACCTGACAAGTGAGCAGCGGCCGACAAGGGGAGCTCGACGACAACAGCTGACAATTCTGGTCGACGGAAGGGGTCGTTCGACCAGGGGGTAGCTTGACGGGAGCTGTGGTCGACCAGGGGCACTTGGTGGTCGACCAGAGGCACCTGGTGGTCGACCAGAGGCACTGGTGGTTGACCGGGTAACCTGCTCGACGAGTTCTGCAGAGGCATGTGAACGTCGTCGAGGTCGCAATGGCGAAGGCGACATAGGGTTGGTATCTTGATGTCGATGTGGCTCGTCAGTCGGGCCAATCATCTGCGCGCACCTGCGAGCGTGCACACTGCTGTCTTCTATGGGGCAATGCTGGACAGCCGCTCTGCTGCAGGTCGCCTTTCTGCAGTGCTGGCGCGGCTCCTCTACGCAACGCTGGCAGGCGGTCGACAAAGCTGTGCTGGCGGTCGACCAGGATAGCTACAGAATTGCTAGGTGCCCGATGTAGTCATTGTTGTCATTGCTTCTTCAATCATTCTGCGATTTCTACTTTGCCTAGTGGAAACTCTTGCCGATTTCTCCTGTGAATGTGCAAGCACTAAGGAACTAATCAAAGCTACGTTCACTCCCAGTGGTTCGTGCCAACCCCCGTCGTCTAGCCCACTACATTTGTTGAGTGACTCTCTGCATGGTGCAGTGAGCGTGGACGGTCCCGCATACTACCTTCAGATAGGAGCCGACTTTTGCACCTACTAAGTCGTTCGTAGGCCGGCAACACGTACAACCATGACGCCTACCCTGCCAACGGCCGGCGTGGTAGAGGACACCTTGGAGGCACGCTTGACTGATGCGCGGAAACGCATTGAGGATGGTGAGTACGGGAAGGTCCCCCTTGGCGATTGTCGAGTTTGGCATCCGGGAGTAGTGTGCGACGAAGCACCCTTCCTGTCCTGCATCGCCTCGACCGGTACGAAACGAAGGTGGCGTTGATGGTGGTGCACGAGTCAGCGACATTGATGGCACGAAGCAGAGAGGGATGATCAAGGTCGACGGTGACGTCGACAAGAGCCAGGCGCGATTGGAGCAGTTGACGGCGGCTGCAGGCAGCTCGCGTGCCGACGTCGATGGTCGACGTTGCTCTCCTCTACGAAGCGGTGGAGGGCTCTCAGCGACGACGCATGTGACCGCGGGCGAGATTGCACCGGCGTATGGCTACATCAAATTCTCGCTGGACCGGATCACCGTCGCACCGCTGCAAGGTCGACGAGACCCCATCACCTCGAGGGAGTCGATAGAACCTCAGCTGGAGGTCGCCGGGCTGAAGGGCTCCGCCGACGGCACCGTGCCAATTCCGCCTGTTGAGGATGTCGAGTTGCGCGTGGAGTTTCGTGCTGCTCACTTGCTCACCTTCATGGTCATCTCGAGGTGCTGCTCGCCAGTAGTGCAGCTAGCACTCAGGTCCTGTCAAGAGCGAATGGACGCCAGTCATCAAGCGTGGCATTTCATCCTGTCGACGTACCAGGTGAAGGACGACCTGTACATCGGACAGCAGGAGGAGAAGATAACACACATTCAGATGGGCGAGCAGGAGTCGGTGACGGACTACTGCAAGCGTGCTCGACGGATCCTAGCTGAGATGCGGATGGCAGGCGCCGAATACTCGACGGCGTCCTACATCACCTACATCCTCAAGGGCCTGCCGCGCAGCTACGGCCTCATGAAGAGGATGCCAATGGTGCCCGGCACATGTGAGTCCCTCGACGAGGACTCCCTCGCCAGCTACATTCTCCAAGATGAGGCGATGCAGGAGGCAGAGCAGCCTACAGAGCTCCTTCCGCTGGCAAGTTACGCTGCACCGACGAAGAAGAATCATCAGCAGGAGCAGCGCGTGAAGCCGAGCAGAGGTGGTAGCAGAGATGGGCGGTCTACGAAGGACGTCGACGAGAAGAGGTCGACGCGGGACAAGGGCCGAGGAGGTGGTGGTCGACGGCGGGAGTGTTGGATCTGCCACGACCCCAACCATCTCTCCTACGAATGCCCCGAACGCGAAGACAACAACGAGGACGACAACAAGGGAGGCCGCGGTCAATTGGCCAGTCATCGCCCCCGTCGAGATGCAAAGCCCCGTAATGAGAAGCAGCCGTCGAAGACGACAAATCCAACGGCAAAGGCCGAGGCGACGGGGAGGCGTCGTGCTCGATGGTCGGTTTGGTGGAGTCGACAGTCTCGCTAGCGCCGGAGGCTGACGAGGACTTCCAGACGGTGGCGGCAGCTGTGCAAGCAAACCCGATGGCGGTGCTGCTCGAGACGGTCGACTTCCAGACGGTAGCGGTTGCTCCCACCACATGATGGGGATGAAGGCGGTCTTCATCGACATGGCGCCGAGCGACGGTGTGAAGCACGTGCGTGGATTCAATGGGACATTGCAGCCCGTCGAGGGCCGTGGAACCATCGCTCTACAAGGGGAGGCAGAGAAGCAGGTCCTCATCTCTGGCGTGCTCTACGTTCCGCGAGTACATGCGAACCTGCTATTAGCTGGCCAACTGAAGGAGAGCGGAGTGCAGCTGCAGGGCGACAATGACGAGATGCTGCTCGTCGCCGAGACCGGGGAGGTGCTCGGTCGAGCTGTCACAATGTAAAATTGACTAAAATAGAAAGTACAAACAAGATATATGCAAAACCTAACCCTAGTGCAAGTACAAAACAACACAAGGGAGAACACCTAGACTAGAACTACACAAACTATAGAATAATAGTTTGACACACCCCCATAGTCTAGGTGACGGTAGTCGTGTACAAACAACAAGAGCAAGCAACAGTCACAAAACCAGTCCACAAGAACAAGACAAATCTCAGGGTGGAGCTCAAAGTCACCACACACTCCGAGAGCAAGCAAGGGGC